AAAAAAAAAAAAAAAAAAAAAAAAAAAAAAAAAAAAAAGTCACTTCTCAAATCCCTGTCTACTCATTCAAACTAGTCTGCTAAAATTAATTTACCAAGTAAATATCAAGAGCCTCATACTTCAAACTTTCAAAGTACAGAACGCATGGCTAGCCTTCTGAATATAGGTAAAGTTTAGTCATTCTAACGCCAAATCATATTTATCAATGATACAAAAAAAAGTATACATAGAAGTTGGTAAGAGAGAAGTGTATTTAATTTTATCTTTACACAATCACTAGAAGAAAAGTTGTCTTTAGCCATAGATTTGAGGCACGGCACCCTGAGCTTTCTTGGCTAGGGTTGTGAATAAAAGGCACATCTACCATTGTCTTGACATTTTTTCAAAGTGCATACTTTAAAAATATGATGTCTCTTTAAGTTCACAGTATTTAAAACTGCTTTAGGATCTCAACTAGAAATAGAGATTTTAATAGTTTGTCAGCACCTGATGCACATTTTGGAATGAAAACTATTCCTGTTGCATTGCTCCCTTCAATTTTATATTAAGTAACACAGAGTTCGAAAACAAAACAAAAATACAAACAAACAAAAAAAAAAAAAAAAAAACAAGAAAAAAAGGGGCCGGGGAGATGGCTCAGTAGAATAAGCACTTCCCTGGCAAGCGCAAGGGTCCGAGTTCAATCTCCAGTTCCACCAAAAAAAAAAAAGATCGGAAGAGCACACGTCTGAACTCCAGTCACGCCGCAACATCTCGTATAAATGCAAAAAAAAAAAAAAAAAAAAAAACAAACACAAGACACCATTGTGATTGTCTGCTGGCTGCTCAGCGAAGGTCACCATCTCCTCTCCTTGCTGCTCTGAGATCTCTGACACCGCCTCCCAGAGGTGCTCACAACAGGACGCTGGGAAGCAGCAACAGTAGCCTACATAAGTTCATTGTTTGAAGGCCTTTCCCTAACGACCTGTCCCTGAATAAAAGCAAAGACAGAATACAGCGCGTTCGTTCCCCGTCATGAAACAGCCAAGGCCTCCTCAAAGTGATGCAGAGATAGGCAAGCAAGGACAGGAACATCATTTTCTATTCAAGAGGAACCTGCTTATCAGTAATGCTACGAGCATTTCTTTGCATCCCTTGAATCCGCCTAAAAGACCAGAGATGTTGTCTCCTCTAATTGGGGCTTGCTGATGCTCTTCTTTATAAGATGCTACAAGGACAGGAACTTTAAAGTTGAGGAAGAAACTGTAAAAGATAACGTGGGAAGCAAGGTCTGCTTCTAGGCCAATTGATTGGGGAATAAGATGCATATTAAAGCAGGGAAGAAGTCACTGGTGGTACTATAATGGAATGTGAGAGTCGAGAGAAGAAACTCAAGAATAGGCAGCACTCTGATCTTACTGGAATATTCCCTTTTTCCAGCTTCCCTCTCTCTATTTTTCTTTTTATTTTTTTACTTTATTTTTTGCAGCACTGGGGATTGAACTCGGGACCTTGTGCGTGCCAGGCAGGCACTTATGCCGCTGAGCTGTCTCCCAAGCTCTTTCTATTATTTCTTTCTCTTCAGTTCTCCTTCTCTTTGCTCAGCCCACACAAGGTCCCCTCACTGAACCCCTCTTGTAGAGGGCTTGGAGAAAGGCCTGGCCTCCACACACCCACAAAGTGTGTGCCAAGCTATGCCCCAGACGTGCACTTGTGCAGCTCCCCCTGGGAGCATTCGCCATCACTCCCAATCTCACTTCTACTTAATGTCCTCTATCTAAATGACAGATATCCTCCATAGTGAAAGCCTCCCTCATCTTGGCCTCAGCTGCCAACATCCAGGGTCCAGAAGATTGCTCAGCGACTGCTTTTTTTATTTTTATTTTATTTTATTTGTATTTTAGGGAAGGGTCTATAGGGTGTTCAGGGTCTCACTACTAGTAGTGATCTGCCTGTTTATAGCCTCCCAAGAGCTGGGATTACAGGTGGGCCCCACCATGCCCAGTCTCAATTGCCCTCTCGGTGGGAACTGGGGGCAGGGCCAGCACAGCAGGCCTGGGGATCAAATCTCTGGCCCCTGCACCTGATTGCAGGCACTTTAATCCACTGAGCTATTTGGCCAGCCCTCCTGAGCGTCTGCTTTCAATGAGGTCTGCCTTCTCTCTGGGTTCTCACTGCCACTTTCCTTTCTCCCTTGGCACAGCCTGCCCTGGGGCAGCCCTCCTCGAAGTCCTGTGCTCATGGCGCCACTGTCACGCTTCATTTTTCAAATCAGAATCGCTAAGACCCCGGCCTCTGCTGCAACCAAAATTGAGTAGTTAAGAATTGTCAAGAGCTGGCCAACTACTGAGGGAGCTCAACACTTCTCCCTTGTCTCAGCCAAAGCCCTAACTTCAGCTCACGGCCGTGTACCCCAAAACCCCACAAAGAGATTTTCTAGAATTGATACTTTTGTATCCTCTTCTTCCGCCTCTAAATCACATTTAAGTTCTTCCTTTATGAAACGTTCCTAAGTACTCCTGGAAATGTATGTGTGTATCTCCCATCCTGTACAACCTAGCGCCCCGTGGCTTCCCACATCTCCCTAGTTAGGTACCATGTGCACCTGGGCCTGACTTTCATAGGGAACATTTTAACCCCCAAAACAATGGAGTCCTTTAATAGCATCCCAGAAGAAGCTGTGACATAATACACAAGAGCCCTGTGATAAACGCTTTGTTCTTCAATTCAATACTTAGGTCTTCAGTTCTTGGACCAAAATGAAAAGTGATTAAATAAATACGTAAAGTACTTTCTAACCATCATTGACCTTTGTCTGCCCAGAACTCGAATAATTGAGTCCACGTCACACATCTTCATATTTCAACACATATTTCTTTGAGCTTTTAATTGTTCCTTATTATAAATATCCTTTTTTTTTTCCAATATAGCATTCTTCAAAGCACACCTTTCACTTTATTTGTAGCTCCGTTGTTGCCCTTTCACTTTATTTGTGGTCCCTGCCACTTAATTATGATATAGAAAGGAAGACAGTTTGCATTAAAAATGGAAAAGAAAGATCACAGAATTATTTTTCGGAAAATTATCTCAAAAACGTGTGGTTGTGAGGAACTTTTTTGATGCGACCAGTAAATTCTGAAAAATTACTCCTGGAAACGACACCTTGAACTGCTAGGAGACATTCCCACTCGCCACCCCGAGAGCCCACTATTTGGTCACCAGGGGGCGCTGCTCACAAGGCGCTGCAGCCCTTGGCACAGCCCTTTGACAACTAAGGTCAATTGTTCTTACTACAATGTACCTGCGACCCCACTAGAGGACTGATTGAAGATTATGGCTTTCGCTTTTAGAGGTACAATCCCATTGGAATGGAGCTGGGATAAGAGGCGCCTAGAAAGGATATGAGAGAGAAGCCCAATTCTCCCAAATGCCTTTAGCTACACTTTCATTGCTAAGTTACCTGTATTTGTCTATCTCACCAAAGCAACTGAGGATGTAACTGCTATCACTTTCCAGTCCCCAGCAATTTTCTGAGAACTGAAGAGGGCCATGCTTAGCATAATGCACTTGGCTGGCTGCTCTCAAAGGGAAAGGAGGAATAGATACAGTAACGCTTTAGGTTGTTTAAAGTCTCCAAAGCTTTACTGATCTTTTCTAATTTGTATTCTTTCCCATCATAACCGGGCTACCCTTTCCTCAGATACTGTTTGAGATTTTCACATGGATTCTTTGTTCTGAATCTATTTTATTTATTTTTATTTGATTTTATTTTGTCATGTATTTGGTACAGGGTCTCACTACACAGCTCAGACTCATAGTGATCCTCCTGTTTTCAGCCTCCCCAGCGCTGGGATTAAAGGCATGTGCCACCACTCCCAGACTTGGCTGCTGGCTCAGCACGCCCAGGGGGAGGGGCTGGCATGCATGCAGTATTGAGGATAGGACTCTGATCCCTGTGCTTGAGCTATCTTGCCGGCCCTGAAACTATTTCTAGACCCATATTTTCTGCACAACCCATTTTCCAGGCTGGCAGACTTACAGAGGAGGCCTGGGGAATTAGACAACAAAGTAGAACCAGACATTAACAATTGGTTCTAAGTATTGAACACAGATACATTCTTAGATATGGGAAAAAAAAAAAAACCTTGCTTGATAAAGAGCTTGGGGTTACACCTACTTTGCATAAGTAAGAAGTAAATTTAATCCTAGGGCTGAAAACGCAGTAGAGTAGGTAAGAGAAGAGCCCCCCAAAAGCTTTAAGAATGAACACTACTTGAGATGCAAAAGGCACAGAGCAAATTCCTCAGAGGGTGTGGAGGGGTGTGGTCTACCGAGAGGTCTGTGTGGCCACAATGTAAACTCTGTAAACTCAGCCAGGTCCATTTTTACCCACCGCTTTTCACTTGAGTTACAGAGGGAACAGAGGGAAGAGCTACATTACATTGAACATAACAAAATTAGGCTCCAAAAACATGCACCCAGGCATGAACTCCTGGGTGAAGCTAATCCTGCAGCCAGTTACCTGGTTCTATAAGGGAATCTGCGTGAAGGCTGGAAGGAGCCACAGACTTCCTTGGAGAGTTTGGCTGACGACTCAGTTACAGAAATGAACTGTTTCTCTCTTAGCCTTGATTTCACTATCCAGAACTGTACCACAGTTTAAGTTAGCATTAGAAGATAATAAATGAGAAGATGAGATGTAACTTTGATATTTCCTGTTAGAAAAAGAGTACTAATGGATTGGCAGCGAAAGCGCATTCAAAATTGTTTGTACACTGTATGATTTTATGACAAGTATTAAGAAGAAGACCTCCAGAACTATAATTTAAGATAGTTTTTTAAAAGTATATTAACTGTACTGACAGAATGCTGAATCTTTGTACACTGATTTTCTTTGTCCAGTAAATTCCCAGAGTATTAACTATATAGTATCTACAAAAAAAGAAACAGAGACAGAGAGATTTCCCTATCTCTCTAACCATGGTCAACTTTCATATTTTGAATCTTTTGCAAAACACCAAGTTCTTCTACAGTCTTACCTCTGGAGAAAGATAACAGAAGTATAAAAATCTTCTTTTATTCTCTGCCTATAGTCACTGTTGCTTTATTCCTATACAGAGTGTACTTACTAACCAAGGAGGCCCAGAGAAAAGCAAAACAACATTGAAACTTGGCAACAAGTATAATTGTAGCGATACTTGGAGACTTGTAGATCGCTAACTTTCTGTAATTCTCATGTGGAGCAGGTAAGGCAATTAACTTTTTTCCTTCTTCTCCAAAACCCAGCCTCTTTACTGAAATCCCTGGCCAAAAGCAAAGTAAGTAATTTCCACAGACAGCGGTTTACCTTCGAACGCGCTCCACACTCTCATCTGTTCGAATATACTTCTTTGCATCCTCTTTGCCAAAGCCTGCAGCGTCTTCTGGGTTGGCAAAAACCTGTTCCATACACCAAGACAGAACTTATTCCAAATACTAAGCAACATGGAGGTATTCTACCTAATAAGTTATTTGCATTAGAATGACAAAAATACAGGCATCGAAATTAGCCCTTACAGAAAAAAATTAGAACAATAATTCAAACACAAGATGAAAAGAGCAGCCACAGTGTTAACCTGAAACTTAATTATTAACAATGCAAAAAATGCTTAAAAATAAGCAAAAATAAGAACTTCAGTAAAATCCAGCATTAAAATAATAATAGGGGCCTGGGAGATGGCTCAGTAGAATAAGTGCTTTCCTGGCAAGTGTAAGGGCCTGAGTTCAATCCCCAGTTCTGACAAAATAATAATAATAATAATAATAATAATAATAATAACAACAACAACAACAAAAGAAATAATCATGGGAAGGGGCAAAGTTCTAAGTCACACTGACTTCCCAAAGATGTGACAAAACAGGAAAGAAGCATAAAGGCTAAGGGAACTTGGAGAAGAAATGGATACAGGGGCTGGGGAGATAGCTCAGTAGAATAAGCATTTGCCTGGCAAGCATAAGGTGCTGAGTTCAATCCCCAGTGCCAGGAAAAAAAAAAAAAAAGATAAAAAAAAAAGAAAAATGGATACCTCTTTCTTATTTCAGAATTGCATATAATTCTGAGTTGAATAATACAGTGAAATTTAAGGAGCTGAATTGCATCACCATGAATAACAAGTATGTGTTCTAAAGTATGTGTTCATGTATCTCTTTCTGTAATTATTATGCTGTTTGAAATGATTTCCTATCCCTGGAAACTTGAAATATGCATTTAAAAATATTTAAGCATGCCCGACTATTTAATAATTTATAACAAAGGAAAAACTATTAAATTAATTTTAATTTAAGCTTGAAAAAAAGTCTCATAAATATTGTAATTTTTTTCTTAAAATGATATGAGCACCAAATCCACATAAAGATATTGATGAGAATTGATGGGCCCGATGCAGCCCTCCCTCGTGGGCTCGGAACAGGCCTGTGAGGTTCACTACAGCGTCCTCTAAGTAAAGGCCTGGGCCACATTAAGTGTTCAGCATACACAGTGTGAATAAAGAAATGAACTACAATGGCAAGTGCATGAGACTGGGGCTTCTACCAACCCAACTATGCAACGCAGCTTCAGCCTTTGCTGATATGTAACCTTGGGCGAACCATGGCTATGAGCTGAATGTGTGCACTCTCACGAAATGCACAAATGCACGTCTAACCCCTCGTGAGGAGGTGTGGAGAAGAGGCCTTTGGAAGGCAGTAAGTCACACGGTGGTGCCCTCATCAATGGGATGGAAGGAGGATACAGGCCCTGATCTAACTAACTCCATTCGGCTTTCTCTCAGTCCATCTGCTATTAACTTCTTTTTGCCTCCTGAGCCATTCTGTCCTGCATTCACCTTTCCTTCCATGAACAGCCTGATCCATACAAACCTTTATGAGGAGGGGCCATAACTCCCCACCATGCAAAGCTGAGCTCTGCAGGTCACCCTACCATGAGATTTCCCTAGTGGCAATCAGTATTCCCTACACAAGGGAGCCTCAGGGCTCCCTCACGTGCGATGGCCTCCCCAGAATCTAGCAGAGCTGGTTTTGAGATATAAATCAAACAGACCACAGCTCGACCAGGTTTACTTGCCCAACCAGTTATTCAAACTCCTTTGTCTTGCAACCTTCCAACCCTTCCCCTTTGCTTCCCTTTTCTGAAAGCCCTCCAAGTTCCTGTTGGCTCCTCAACACCTCTGCCTTCCTAGAATGACCCTCTGATTAAAGCTTCTCTTGCCTTCACCACTACTCATCTCCTTGACTGGCACTGTTGGCCAGGCAGCTGTACCTGCTCTTCTGGGACCCTCTGAGATAACACTTTCACTCTCAGACTCCAGCAAATGGACTAGTGGCCTTAAAAAGAGACAAGGGACAAAGGACAAAGCCCCTCCACAGTTAGCTCCAAGGAAGTATGTAATGAAAAAGGATGCTAAGGGCAAACTAGGAAGCCAGCCCTCAGCAGACCCTAAAATAAGGCATCTTGATTTTGGACTTGCCTACCTCCAGAACCAAAAGAAATAAACCTTATTTAAGCAACCCAGTCTCTGATATTTTGCAAGAGCAGCCAAAAGTGGCTCCGGCAGCTACTGAACTTTTGTGGTTCTCAGTTACTCTGTACTTGAGAATGCTACAAGGAACACAGAATGATGGCAGGGCCTAGCATGCATAAAAACAATAACAGCTCCTTGCATTCTACAAATTGGATTTCCTTGCTTTTTTTTTTTTAATAAGAGTATGTATATATTTGTGTTGCCTTTCTGTTTCCAGAGGAGGGTTTGGACCTGTGGCAGGCAACTAGTTTTGTGTCTGTTGCTACAATAGGTGGTGGCCTCATCACAGCTACAAGTATGAGAAATTCTCTACTAAACTGCAAATGCACTTCCTATATAAGGAAACACCTTAGAGCGCACTGTGAGCTCCAGATAAAAGCAAAGCTCTCAAGGACAAAAACTCAGAACAGGAACTAAAATGTGAAAGAAAAAAAGAAAGAAAAATGTGGATCCAAAAAGACGTGGAAGGGCCAGCCAAATGGCTCAGTGAAATAAAGCACCTGCAAGCAGGCTCAGGGGCTGGGGGTTCAATCTCCAGGCCTGCCATGCTGGCCCCAACCCTGGGGTGCACTGAGTGGGCATGGTGGCACACACCTGTAATCCCAGCACTTGGGAGACTGTAAAAAGGAGATTCACTATGAGTCCAATCTAGTAGTAAGACCCTGAACACCCTGTAGACCCTTCCCTAAAAATACACACAAAAAAAAGAAGTGAATATGCAAAATTCACTAGAAGCCCCGCTCTACCCTCTTTCCTGACACACTGTGTCTTAAATCCTGCTAGAATACAAGGTATGTGCTTCTAAATCTTTCTACCATCTTTTCCGTACCTCCAAATTTTAAAAAGCCATTCTTAAAATGCTAGGTAGAAACACTCATTGACTACTTAAGGAATTAATTCTATAATTGGCTTATTCCAATCATAGAGGCTCTATTGTAAGAATGGACTTTATCTGTCAGCTTGCCTGTCTTTTTTTTTTTATTTGTTTGTTCATATTTTTCTTTCTGTCTTTTTCAATCTTTTTCTTTTCTCCCCCACCAAAGTATGCCCTTGACCTACAAATAGAGCAGAAAACAGCAGTAAAGTCTAATTGACTAAAGGAACTCCAAAACCACAGAAAACACCCTTACAATGAAATTTAGCATGAGTAAAGCGTTAATACACCATAAATCATGTCTACTAAGTAGAATGAGAAAAGGCAAATGCCAAAAAGGAATAAGAAATTAGCTCCTCAGTGAAAGCAAATGTCTCTAAATATGCAATGTGCTGTTGGGAAAGAAAGAGAGACAGACAGACAGAGACACAGTGAGAGAGATAGAGACAGAGACAGACAGACAGATACAGAGAGACAGAGACAGAGACAGACAGACACAGAAACATAGAGAGATGGAGATAGAGACAGAGACAGAGACACAGAGAGAGACAGACAGACACAGAGACATAGAGAAATGGAGACAGAGACAGAGAAACAGAGAGAGAGACAGAGATAGAGATAGACAGAGACAGACACTTAGAGAGAGAGAAAGACATGGCATTCTGGCATTCTGCAAGTTGCAGTGGGTTCCTTCCTGAGTCACTCACTTCTAAGTAGACCTTAAGAATAGACCCAGGAGCGCAGGCCCGGTGAGTGAGTGAGATGACCCAGGGCCCTCTGTATCCTGAATAGACCCAGAGCGCAGGCCCAGGGAGTGAGAGAGACTGCCCAGGGCTGCTGGATGCTGAACAGACCCACAGCCCAGGCCCAGCATGTGAGTGAGACCACCCAGGGCCCGTGGATCTTCATTCGACCCAGAGTGCAGGCCCAGCGAGGAACCCTTCAGCAGAACTCCCTGCAAAGAGACTAGAGGCAAGCCCAACCCAGCTGATTCAGGAGCAGAACATCTTGCCAGAGAGACACAAAGGGTTCAACTCTAACACCTGCAGCAGAAAGTAGTGGAGCGCATCAGTCAGATCCAAGCAACACCCACCTGGAGGAATCTGAACTTCATAGATCCGGACCTGGTGCTAAGGTAATAACTCTATCTAAGCTCTACACCAAAGGTCAGAAGACA